ATAATTTACAGTCAAAAACTGTAAACTGATATTCCCAGAATTCCCTGCATGACACTCCACATTTGAAAGTATTTTGTTTAAATAATCATGTTTTTTAATAGTTTTTGTTATTAGTTATGTATATTTGGGCTTTATGTTACATCTTCTGTTGTTTAATGAAAGTTGAATGCATTATTTAAGTATCGTGTGTTACCATGATGGTGTTTTGTGTTTGCATGAATGACTCTGTGCACCTTCTATATATTAGTATATACTTCTGCTTGTGGCGAAGCTACTTGTGATGAGCTTTGATTCTTCATGTGGCTTTCTCTTTTACCACCTGCATTATTAAGGTGGTTGTCAGTATGTTAAAGGTACAAAACAGATTTTAATAGCAGTGTGCATTGTTGAATTTACTGGTTTACATTCAAATTTTCTTGTTTGTAAATTACAGTTTTATACTGTAAAATTTACAGTTTTGGGCCGTAAATGTGTTTAGTTTTTCTGTATTTTTTACAAAATTATTCTGGCAACCACAGCTGCCAAAATTATTTTGTAAAAACTACAGAATTTATTTTACAGTGTACGTACGTAACGTTTATACATCAGGCCCCTGGTTAGTCTCATCACTAAAAGAAAAAAAGCATTAAAAAAAACTGCAAAAGAGTGGTAAAATGTTAAGGCCAATCCATTCTGTTCGTTTCATACCAATCCTGTATGTATTCGACAAACAGGTGGGCTGGAGACGTCTGGAAAAAGACCTGCAAAGCCCCAGAGGTCTGGAAGCATACTGGAGTTGAGTGTCTTTCCACGGATACATCAGTGACAGTCAGGGAAGAGATGTATCAAACGCACACATGGGGAATTACACAAGCTCGCAGGCGGTGGGCTGTTACCGCCCTGCAGTTTGAGGCCCCTGGAGAGTCCCGCAAGAGCCGCGCTCGCCTCCTTATGACTGGAAATTCATGCAAGAGCAGCTTTATTTTAGAAGCACACTTTAACTGCAGATTTTCTCACATGGAAACAGCTGTTGAGTGTTTCGGGGGGTGTGAGTGAGCGTCAGTTGTTTGTCGTAAACAAGAGCAAGAGTCTAAACCTCTCGAGTTCCTCCAGTCTGACCTTAATTCCTGAGAACAGGACAGAAATCCACTGCTTTGGCTCAGGCATAATGTCAATTAATCCTTAATTTCTGTTGAGTCATGCACTACTCCTCTGTGACTGCTGCCGTTAAAGGGAGAGATCAAAGTCTGTCAAAAAAGACAGAAAATTAATATTGTAAATTGCTACACTTGATGAAAATGTTATAAAATATGTTCAAATTAAAATATTTTTTTTTATTTTGGTTATACTTTTATAAAGTAAATATAATATTATTATATTTAATATAAAATGTGTAATAATATGTAATAATATAATACAACTTTTTTTTTCTTTTAAGAATTAAAACCACGTTTAAATTTTTGGTTAAATAGGACAATTTATTATATTTTATGTATTATTTAATATAATATAACATATAACATAACAACAACATAATAATACTTTTTTTAGCAGTGCATTTACATAATCTTATACTGATTTAAAATTAAGTACAATTTTTTTCTTTGAGTACCTTTTTAAGAAAGTAAAAAATATTTTGTGCAGCTTTGAAGTTATCGAATGGCTTCAAAAAGCATGGAGAAACACCAGTTTAAGATGATAAGTCTCTGTAAATGTGTAGGACTGGAGATGGATATGTTCCTCGTGAAGAAAAATAAAAACAATTAAAATGGCTAAATGTGGGAAGGGTTTAAAATGCATGTCACGAGTCTTCTGCTTTTTTCATCAGAAGTGCCACAGAGTGCATAAGTAATTTGAAGATCCCGAGCACTGGTAGAAAAACTCAGAAGGAAAGATCTTTCACAGTCCTCTGAGGAGCCCTTTGAAGCTCTTCAAGAAAAGATAAAAACTCGAGCGTCCTGAGATTTGGCAGTATATTAATGAGTTCAGTTGACCATTTTGGGCACAGTTTTCATTGTCAGAAAGAGCTGTGAGAGAACAGGAGATGAAATGAATGATTCCTCTGTATTTATCTTCTCCTGGAGCTCTGAGACTGCGTAACACAAGAAGAAGGTGTGCATTTCATAGTCTCAAAGCCTCTCCTGCTCCTTCAGCGCTGTTCTGTAGGCAAACACTGGAGAAAACTGTCTGGAGTGACGATAAATGATGCATTTTGTCTGGTAGAGTCAAGATGAAATGACATTAACAACACATTTTACTTCCATAATGTGACATATTTCTGATAAGATTCTGATATGAGAAATAATGATGAGCAGGACCTGATACTGTGCCTTATTTTGTCCACGTTTCTCAGTGGTCATGACTTTTGTTCAAATATACTGTTATTTGTTACTATTGCTGTACAACATTAAAACTGAGCATGAATTTATAATAAATACAACCAATAGAACTAGATAACAGTAAACTCACAATTGCAAGATAATGTATAGGGATGCACCGATACCACTTTTTTCAGTACTTGCCTGATACCGATACTTTTATTTTTGGTACTTGCCGATACCGAGTACCGATATTTTTATTGTATTTGTAAATTTTTTAAATATTGGGTTAAGAAACCAAAAGGGTATGTATAATGTTAGTTGGTTAACTTAATTTATCAAATAGATAGTCAAACCAAAATTTATTCAGACACCTTCAACATTTCTCACATTATCACAGTTTATTCGCTATAGTTTAGAAAATCGTAATAAAATATGACAAGATCTCAGAGTTAAACTGAGTCAGAACAAATTCATCTTGATAATGTTAGATCATTTTGATAGAAAGGATATATAATAGATTACAATCAACCAACAATTATTCAGACAGCTGTTAGTATGACAGTATTTACACAACTATGAATACTTTGTCGGGCAGCCCTTAACCTTAATGACAGCATATAGTCTCATGGGCATGCTGTCATGCAAACCTGAACTTTTTTCCCAGACTCGGTCTGAATAATTTTTGGACAACACGTGCACATATTTGTACTGATGCAGAATGAGAGGACCGTAGTACAGCCTAGCGCATTTCACACAGGCTGCTAGATTCACTTTCGCCAGAAAGTCGTGAATGCCTACGGTTGAAAATAAATGATGTTTATCGTGAATGCCTCTATAAATGGTCTTATTTTTACGATTTAGTTTTAATCCAAATGATGCGTGTGCTAAGTGAGTGAACATCAAAGATCACACAACAGAATTGCACTGTCTCTCTCTCGCTCTCTCCCTACCGTTAAGTAACTTGTGCATTGTTTTACTTACTTGTTTTTGACATATCCGACCGAACTACAAACTTTCCAGTGATGTCTGTAAGAAAGGTATATTCACTCGACAAGCTCGCGCGCTCAATCTACTCAGCGTGCTTTGTTTATCAGCTCGCGCACATCAGCTATACAGGCGTTAATACTGAATGTTTAACATTATATTCATTGCATACATATACTTCGTAGTAGACATCCTTAACTCCTTTCTGCTGTCTGTTGTTCTGTTGTCGGTGTTTCTTTGTCTGAATATGGCGCTTATCACATGCTGTGTGGTATCGGCATTTGGTATCGGTGCATTTTAACGAGTACGAGTATAGGAGACCAGTATCGGCCCGATACGTGCATCCCTAATAATGTATAAATCAGAATTATACAGAATTGTGAGACAAACTCAGAATTGCGAGACATGAGCTCAGAATTGCAAGATATAAACTCTGAATTTGTGAGATATAAAATTTGAATTGCGAGATCAACTCAGAATTGTGAGTTATGAACTCCAAGTTGTGAGACAGAAATTCAAAATTCTGAGTTATAAACTCAGAAATGTGAGACAAACTCAGAATTGCGAGTTATAAACCCAGAATTACAGGACATAAACTCAGAATTGCGAGTTTTTAACTCAGAATTGCAAGACATATAAATTCAGAATTGCGAGACAAACTCAGAATTGCAAAACAAACTCAGAATTGCGAGTTTTGAACTCAAAATTCGAAATTCAAAATTCTGAGTTATAATCTCAGAAATGTGAGTTACAAACAGAATTGTGTTATAAACCCAGAATTACAGGACATAAACTCAGAATAGCGAGTTTTGAACTCGAAACATAAATTCAGATTTGTGAGACACAAATTCAAAATTGTGAGACAAACTCAAAATTGCAAGACAAACTGAGAATTATAAAACAAACTCAGAATTGCGAGTTTTGAACTCAGAATTGGGAGACATAAATTCAGAATTGCGAAACCAACTCAGAATTGCGAGATATAAACTCAGATTTGCAATATGTAAGAATTGCAAAATATAATGTGAGATGTAAACTCAGAATTCAGATTTTTTTTCCCCCTTGCACTTTCAAGTTTACATATAACAATTCTTACATTTGTCTCTTAATTCTGAATTTGCAAATCGCAACTGCATATTTTTTGTTTTTGCCGTGAAATAATATAAAAGGTAGTTGTGCATTTTATCTTACAATTCTCACTTTTTCAGTGTTTCTGCAGTTCTGTTTATATTCTGAGAACAATTCTGAGAAATAAAGCCAGAATTGTAAAATATAAAATATAAAAAGTCGCAGTTACCTTTCTTATTTTTTATTCTGTGGTGAAAAACTAGTTTCATCGAAAACACCCTCATTTATAAAACTAGAAACTAGTTTCATAAAACTACTAAAAAGCATTTTACCATTACTAGTAAATAATAGTGGTAACAATTTTACAGCATTTATTAATCATTGTCAATGGTCGCTAGTAAAAATAAAATTGTTCATTGCTCATTAGTTCAAAGTGCAGTAACTAATGTAAACAGATGCACGGTTTGATTGAAGACATTTATTAGTAAATGCTTAAATTAACATTAACCTTAAGATGAATTAATGCTGTAGAAGTATCACTCACTTTTAGTTCATGTTTACTAATGCTAACAAATGAAACCTTACTGTAAAATGTTGCTATATTTAAAAAGTGATCATATTTTCCAGCATTCAACTTCATGTGGCAGATGTTTAGTTTCATCAGCCGTTTAATGTCACTCTGTAACCAAGAATAAATACATTGTAAATCAACACATCTTTATACACTTTGCGTCGTACGCCATTTCAGATGGAAAGAAACAACAACAGTACATTTAAAAATGCTGAAAAAAGGAGGTCATTTAGGTACATGGTACCGAGACGTATTCATAAATCAGTATGTGACATCAGAAATATTGCATCATTTCTATAAAACAAAAAACGTGCCGTGCTCATTTCAGCTCAACTATTTTTCGAATATACATCATTAAAGAATTAAATTCATTATTTTTTCTCTGAATGTGTTACTCTGAACCCTGTAGAAAAGGCATTATTGAAGGCAGTAAAGTGTTGGCAGAATATTTAGTAGCCTATGATTTATGTTTATGATAGAAACATTTTGTGATTAAAAAGGTTTATGAAAGGACAGTTTTGTTTCTTATTTTTCACTCTCAGCTCCTCCTCAGTTCTCAATGCATCAATTTTTACGATCCGTTTCCATTCGAGAACATCTCCTCGCTGGAATTTCACTCTCGACGTTTTAAAATCTGGCACATTTTCTTTTCTTTCTAAGAAACAGTGTGAAAAGCAGTCTTGAGACTGGGGTTCAGACCCAGTTGGCTGCCGTTACCCTGACAACAGCGCAAACGCGCATATCCAGACCAGAGCCAGCGGGACGGTTTGTGTTCCTCTCGTGCCAGAATTCATCTGATCAAAGCCTTTGCTTTGTGGGCGATGGTATCGGTGAATGTTGGTATTTTCCGGTGTCACTGCAAGAGAAAAGAGAGAAAAATTTAAGTCGTTCCACCAGACGTGAACTGATCAGATGGGTTTATTCGAAGCATGTGTTTTCATTGTGATGAGGAATGAGGATAGCTAGATCAAAAACAACATCACTATCAAGTGTTCCTGGGAAGTTCCTACTTTTGAGTCGTAACTGAGTAGTGATGAAATGATCACGTTTTCAAAAACAAATGCACACAAAGAACTGTTAATGAACAATAGCAAAAAAGCTAATCACAAAATGTATTTGGTTTATGAGGCAATATGATTGGATAACTAAAATGGTTTTCCCATGATTTTTTCACACCTGATGCGCATAATTTGACCATCGTTTAGTGCTAAAAATTGGCCTGTTTCCAAGCCATCTGAGATGTAGATGAGTTTGCTTCTTCATCAGATTTGGAGAAATGTAGCATTAACGTGCTCACAAATGGATGCTCTGCAGTGAATGGGTGCCGTCAGAATGAGACCCCAAACAGCTGATAAAAACATCACAATAATCCACAAGTAATCCACACCACTCCAGTCTATCAATTAATGTCTTGCGAAGAGAAAATTTGCAAGTTTGTAAGAAACAAATCCATCATTAAGACATAACATTAAAATGTTGCTTCTGGCTAAAATATGAGTCCTCTATCTATCTTTACTTTCTCCAGTAAAAAAGTCATTTTGTCTGAATCAGGAGAGAAATATGCACAGCTTAAGCACAATTTACAAGAGAAAACAATCCTTAAACAGCTCTAAACAAATATGTTGGTGGATTTTGATGTGAGAGACAACCGGAGATGGGCTTTTTCATTGGAGGAAGCGTTATTACGGATAGAGGACTCACATTTTAGTTGGAATCAACAGTTTGAAGTTAAAAACATCTTAATGATGGATTTGTTTCTTACAAACACACACAGCTTTTCACTTCACAGGATGTTCACTGATGGACTGGAGTTGTGTGGATTACTTGTGAATTATTGTGATGTTTTTAATCAGCTGTTTGGACTCTTATTCTGACGGCACCCATTCACTCCATTGGTGAGCAAGTGACGGAATGCTAATCTGTACATTTCCCAAAATCTGTTCCCATGAAGAATCAACCTCATCTACATCTCGAATGGCCTATGGGAGAGTAAATATTCAGCATTTTCGTTTTGGAGTGAACTGTTCCTTTGAAATAACTGAATGCATGCATGCCCTAAATCTTAAAGTTGGGGCTCAAATGTTTCCCAATTGAATTTAAGACATTGTTGGCTTGCAAAGAATAATTAATAATCACATTCCAACATGGCTTGAAGAAAACATCATGCAACTGGTTAGTTGCGAGTTGAAACCATTTTTCAACAAAAAGGATGTGTATGTTTTCAACATACATTCAGCGTATCCATCTGGGTTTTGAAATCTCATTCAAATGGATGTACATAACGGATGCTGTCATGTATATAACAAAGTGCACATGCATAGTTTCCCAGCGTTCCTGCCAGAGGAGCTTCACCAGCCAAAAACTACAAGCGTCCCTCAGCTCTGAAATATTTCCAACCAATTTGTTTGTACGTTGCACGTACTTTTTTAACCCTGAAGAATCATTCAAGACAAGAACTGCTCACATTTCTTGCCATTAGACTGCTTGGGAATATTTATGTTTGAATTTGCTTGGCGAAACAGAATCCATTAAAAACGCAGTACTAAAGGATCTATACATATTCAAAGTTACAAAAGGAGCATACGGGTCAGCGAAATCCACTGACATGTCTCCCTCAAGGAGCCACAAATCATGGTTGAGCTTTTGTCAAATAAATCTGTGTGGACTAAAATTAAGCAGATATCGATTCTCTGCTCTGATGTCCCCAGAGGGCCATTTAAAAGGGCTGATCGGAGACACACGTGGGATATTTGGCAGCCCGCTGGTCCGACTCAAGACATCGATCCTCGTGCATCTTCAGAAGCGGCTCAATGAGAAGCGCTCGCATCCGATGTGACACTTGTGAGGGAAAACATGCCAGTGGCAGTCGAGGCACAAATCCTGCTCGTGCTGGGGCTCTTCAAAGTCCAGTGCAGCTTTGAGAAGACGCAGAGCAAACAAAGATGAACAGAAAGGACCGAGCGTCTGATCTACACCACCTCTGATTCTGACAGACCTTCACAACAGAAGAACAAAAGCAGATGTCTTTTTGGAAACCGACTATGGGATCTGACAAACAACGACCTCACATGATTATGTCAACTTTTAATATGCCTTCTTTGACATTTATGTTTGCAAACAATGAATTCTAACTATCACTGAAAGTTAAGATTTAATAATTGTTCATGCAAATTATAGATGTAAACTCCTTTAAAATAAATAATATATTTATAAAATATAAATATATAATAAATAACATAATATAATAAATAATAATATATTAAATAAATAAATACATATATACATACTATGGCAGTACCATGTACATTTTATGTCTATATATATATATACTGTATGTGTGTGTGTGTGCAAGAAGTTCTGCAAGTTGTATAAATAAATACTTTATAAACATTAAGAAACTATTTATATATAATTACTACATGTTTGTAATATATTAAAATATTCTTAATAGTTTTAAATATAAATAACAAAACATAAATAATATTGTATTATATTATTATATATTACCATATATATATATATACATACATACAAGACAGTGTCTGAAAATTATTTAATATAAATGTGTAATTTTTTATTTATCAGATCGTATGTAACTACAAATCCAGATTATACATAATTCACAAATATACTTATCATTTTAATAAAACTATGTATTTATATATAATCTGATAAAAAAAGACTTATAAATGAATATAAACAAACTATATATATATATATATATATTAATTATAGATATAAGAAATTAATTATAAATGTATACCCCACACACACGTACTTACAGTATAAATATTAATATTAATAATACAATATTTGTAGATAATGCTAGAATAGTAAATATTATACAATAATATGTAACAATATATTGCATACATATATATGTATGCAACAATTCATGTAATATTTTACAAAGGGAGGAGAAGACTCATCTCACATCTCCGGTTGATGTCAAGTGCTGTGTGTCCAATCAAACGTGACGATATCTGAGCAAATTAATCTGTCACTCAGTTAAATCAGACAGATGCCAAGATGGACAGGTTGCGTGACATGCTCTCATCCTCAAAAACTGCACAGAGTTAAACACAGACAATTACGGTTCCGCGCTGAGACGTCGCTTGATGTCCAAAGCAAAACCAGAGCCACTTTAACAACATGTTTGGCTTGACGTCTAACAATTACGATCACACAAATTCAAGCCAATCTCTGCAGTTAGTGCTCTGATGCAGCATGCGTGACTGTTGCGCAGCTGTGTTGGTCATTAGGAGCGCTGGCCTGATTCCTCCGTCCCTCTGGACCCGTGTCAGGAAGACAAGAGTGATGACCCGTCTCCTCCCATGCATCCCTGCTTTCCTCCGTCTCAGCACAGCGGCGCAGGAAGACCGAAGATTGGCAGGCGTAATCTGAGAGCTCCTGCTGATTACTTTCTGGACACGGACAGAATGCATATCGGGCCGAGAGTAAAGACAAACGCGCTCAGATGAGCCCAGGGAAGCCAATAATGACAAATGCATCTCAGTGCCTGGTTAAAGGCCCCAATCAATATCTTTCCAATTAGAATTTAGCTCAGGAGTCTGAAGGAATGGCCCATGTGATCGCTTTTAATCAGCCATTAATCAATTAAAGTCACATTTACATTTGTCCATTCTAAACGTACAAAATGCATGTTTTGAAGACACATTGGGCCACAGTGCGCTTTGTGACCTGCTTTGGATGGACTACAAATTACAATTAACATTTTAACATTTTTACTGAATGCTGCAAAGTGACATCTGCACAAGAAAATCTTAGTATTTAATGTGCAAAACAAGATTTTTGCAGTTGGATTAGCTAAACTTTGCATAACAATAATAATAATAAAGAACCAATACTAAATAATTGTTATAATGATTCGGAATATTAAATTACATTATTCATATTTAATAACTGCAACAACAACCACAACGTTTATGATTAATTGTCAATATTAATAATGTTTACAATTATTAATAATTATTAAATAGATTCAAATTAACTAGTATTAATAATTACATGAATTAAATTATTAATATCATTACATGATTTAATTATAACAACAGCAACAACAAAAAACACAGCAAAATTTATTAATTATTATTAATACTAAATAATTATGAAAAATAAGAACAGCAACTATATTTTTATTGATTACTAACACCAAATAATTATTAAATAATTATTATTATAAGTATTATTAATACAAAATAATTATGAATAAGAAAAACAGAAAAACAACGAAAACATATTTTATGATTAATCATTATTAATAAAGTACAATGTTTAATTATTTACAGTATATACATTATTTATACTGTATATCAATTATTATATTTAATACATTTTATATTTAACAATTAATTAAATTTGAAATTAATTATTATGATTATAAATACATGCCAAAATTTTTTTAATAAAATAAATACTAATCCAATACTAATTCTAGTCTATTTTCCCTTGTCATATACACTTTAAACATGTCTCAAAAAGTGACAAATGACCAACAAAAATAAAAGAGCCTAGCATTTGAGAAACTCTGACTATGTTAGCAAAGAGAAGTGTTTTGCTGTGCTTCTGTAGCGATACAGTGCTCTCTGTGTATGGTTAGACAGTGAACCTGATGGCTTTTTACCCCAGCTGATTCTCTCCAGCCTCTTCAGGGACAGAAATGCAAAAACACGTGTCTGGGTCGGCCTAAACAAACGCCATAAAACGAGCATTAGCGCCAGAAGAGGCTCAGATAATGCAGCAAAGACAAAGTTGGAGGCTGATGTAAAATCAATGCAAGTTAAATCTCTCGGACCTCAGAGAACAATGATCAATAACACAACCACCGGGAAGAAA